TCGTCCACCCTGGGTCTGCAACCAGTCTCTGCCTGCTGGGGTCTGCACCCAGCCTCTGCCTTCCTGGGTCTACAACCAGGATCGTCCTGCAAAGGTCCGCAGCCAGTCCTGTACCCAATCCCATGCTCCCCATGTCTGCAGCCAGTCCCATGCTCCCTGTGTCTGTGTTAAGGTCACATGCTCAAGGGGGTCAGATCACAAGGGCTTGGCCTCAGCTCATATGCTGTGCCCCTTTCCTGAGTATGTGCCCTTAATTTCTGGGGGCTAGAACAGTTGTCCAGAGTTTCTGGGATTTGACTAGGGTGGATAATGGACATCCAGATCTGAAATGTGAGATAAATCCGACGGATGTCTGGATATTACCTGGGCAAGCAGATAAGACTAATCCGGATGAAGTCCGGACTAGAAACTAACAGAGGATGGACTACCCTTAAGGTAGAGTCGGAAATGTAGTCTAGGATGCAATCCTAAGACTCGGAATATGACAAGAGACTTATCTCAAGTCCAGAGGACACAGGAATGAGCAGGAACTAAGATGATATTCGAACTGGAGTATTTCCGAGAGTTACAGGAGGTTTATATACTGTAGGTATCATATAGGAATCAGTCAGCAAACATAAAGGCTATGTACAAAGCATATGCAAAGTCTATTAGTAAGTAGGACGGATCACAAATAATGAACACTGGAAATGAAATGTATGTAACAGATCAATAATCAAAAGGGAAACATGGTTAACCAGAGTCCAGAGACAGGGGCAGTCTAAATGGGGTTGGGCGCTGATATAGGGTTTGGATTCTGGAAGGGAGATAAAGATAGATCAGATCATTTGAGATCCGGATCTCGGATCTGGATATCCAGAGAAGCGGATTTAGAGTTGAGAGTCTGGAATGGCATATGACAGTCTGCAGCCAGTCCTGTCCTGCCTGGATCTGTAGCCAATCTCATCCTGCCTGGGTCTGCAGCCAGTCTTGCCCCACCTGGGTCTGCAGCCAGTCTCACCCCACCTGGGTTCACAGCCAGACTTGTCCTGCCTGGGTCCGCAGCCACTCTAATGCTGCCTGGGTCTGTAGCCAGTCTTGTGCTCCATGTGTCTGCAGCTGTTAAGAACCATGCTCAAGGGAGAGAGAGAGACTGACTCAGAGGGGCTTGGCCTCAGCTCATATGCTGTGCCCCTTACCTGAGTATGTGCCCTTCATTTCAGAGGAAGTCCAATGATGGTCCAACAAAGTCTGGAGGACTTCCGGAGGCTGGCCACTCTGGTGGAGAGTGCAGGAGGACTTCCGGAGGAGCATGGAGAGTTCCGGAGGAATGCAGGAAGTGCTCAGGAGAGTTCCCACTGCAAGGTAATACTTCTACAGGAAAACAGGATGGAAGGATAGGAGGTCCAGAGGACAGGAGGACAAGATGTCTGGAGGTCCAGAGTATGGAGGACAGGAGGTCCGGAGGTATGGAGGACGGAACATCCGAAGGTACGGAGGGCAGAACATCTGAAGGTATGGAGGGCAGAACATCTGAAGGACAGGATGCCCAGAGGTATGAGGGACAGGACATCCGGAGGTACAGAAGACAGGAGGTCCGGAAGGAGTAGGGGCTACATCAGACAAAGTCCAATGTAGAAGCAAATGGAGGTAGACTACCCTAAGGTAGAGTCGGAGGGACAGGAAGTGGACCTAAGTCTGGAAAGAGGGTAAGTGCCAGAAAGGCAAGACTCTAGCCTAGGGAAGCAATCCCTAGACTTGGGACAGAGACATAGGGGACAAATCTGAAGGTCCAGAATTCCGGCCTAGGGAATCCTTCCCTAGGCCTTATGGAAAAGGACGAGACTCAGACGGACTGAAGTCCAGAAGATGATTGGCAAGTAGAACAGGATCTAAGATGAGAGAGCAGGAACTAAGATGATATTCAGACTGAGGACTCTACTGTAGTTGTACAGGGGTTATATACTAGAGGCTATCTGAGAGGATCAGTAAGCAAAGGAGTAAGGCTATGTATGAGCATGCAGAAACACATTGGTAAGTAAGATGGAACATAAGTAAATGAACTTGGAGATGAAACTAGTACAAGGATCAATCAGCAAGATGGAAACAGAGATAACTGAGAACTGGAAAGGCGGAGATGCCTAAATGGGGATAGGTGCAGGATCTTGGATGGAGGATGGGAATGGTCTGGAGATAGTACAGTTAATATCCGGAGGTCTGGTGTCCTGCATGATTTGGGAATCATGCATGGACATGACTACTAGGTAGCCCCCCTAAAAGACAAAGTCTGTTAGCTTAGGCATCAGGCTAGTCAACCCATACCTTGGTTTCAAACCTTGGTCATATAGTTCAGTTTCCCCTCTGTGATTCATGAATTTATTATATCTTGAAGAAAAGTCATTTGTGAGATGGGAATCACATAATGACCTAGTTGATATTGTGAAGCAAGAAGGTTAAGGTATTGCCTTGCCTTTGGCTTATTCACTTTGGCTAGAGAAAACCATAGAGAAAAGTTCAAAGCCTAACAAAAACCTATCTAAAAAGCCTGTGTTTTGTGTCTTGTTATTGTATTATTATTTCTGAGTTGTTTTCTCTCTAGTATTTCCTTGATTTATTTTTCTATTGGGATGCTCTGACTGATCAGATACTTCACAAAATTGTACCTACAGGGTATGATGTCATAATGATGTCATATGGCTCCACAGATACTCCTGCAAGTATTCTGTTGAAAGTTATGATGTCATGATGATGTCATTTGTTCTGGAATGTTCTGCTCCACTTGCTAGAATGTTCTGCTCCACAATGACTCACCTCTGATGTCATTACTCCACCTATGGAATATTCTGGAATGTTCTGCTCCACTTTCTGGAATATTCTGCTCCACTTCTGATGTCATTGCTCCGCTTTTTTACTTACATAATATTCCCACACAAAATGTATATAAGGAGGGCCCATTCTCCCCCCCCAAAAAATAGGATCTCCCACTTGCAATCATTTGAATCTCAGTTTGAGCTACTCACTGTGAAGATTGTTGCTTACAAAGAAAAGCCCCTTTGAAGTACCAAGTGCAGGGAAAAGACATTCCCTTGAGATTACATAAGTTTCTTATGATAGAAACTTAGTTTATTTGAGACCAGCTTCTCACCTAGTTTCTGATATTGACCAACATGAGCTTTGGTCAATCTGTTCATTTGTGAGACCAGCTTCTCACCTAGTTATCTGATATTGACCAACATGAGCTTTGGTCAATCTGTTCATTTGTGAGACCAGTTTCTCACCACTTTGTGCCTATTTGACCAACCAGTCTTTGGTCAACGTATTTGTATTTGAGACCGTAGTCTCTACAGAGAATTATCTTAACAAGGAACCACGTTCCAGTGTCTAGACGGTTTATCCTAGACAAGTTTATAAGTTGGGATATAACACAAAAGCTCTGGCTAAGTTAATCACATTGATTGGTTTAGCAAGCCTCCCAAGAACTCACACGTTATCTACCACAAAAGAAGAAAAGTCATAGACCATGTTAATCGAGGACTGGCAAGAAGTCTTATCCCAGTGTAATTGTGGTGTCATTACATTTTACACGCATTTATATAAGACCCTCAGTTATTAAGACACTGGAGATCTGGGGATCCGGAAGGCAGGGCAGAAACAGGACTGAGATATGTGAGGTGGTGGATGTAGTCCAGAATCCAAGAGGAGGTAAAGTCTGGATGTCTTGCTGGATGGAATGTGCATAGGGTGGACAGGATAGGGGATCCAGGAATGAATCAGATATGGGGTCCGGAAATAGGTCCGGAAAGCGTGGGAATATGATGGGATCTATATCTGGCATATGGGATATGACAGCAGCCAATCTTGCGCTCTGTGGGTCTGCAGCCAGTCTTGCCCTGCATGGGTCTGCAACCAGTCTTGTCCTGCCTGGGTCTGCAGCCAGTCTCTCCCATTCCTGGTCTGCAGCCAGGCATGCCCATCCATGGTCCCCAGCCAAGATTGTGAATCTGAAGTGCAATCTCCCTGAAGCCATAACATACAGATGAGAACTGACAGCAGCTCTGGTGGCAGAACAAGGAAGGCTAATGAATCTTTTAATCTATGGGAGTCCCGAGCTTTCATAGCTTGGCTCTGCTTCTTCAGTTCTGAGAGCACATCTAAGAGGGCTGTGCGTTCTGGAATCTCATGGATCATCAAGTGGAGAGAGGAATCAGTGAGTAGGGAATGGGGTGAAGACATATCATGCACTTGAAGGAGGCTGCAGTTTGAGGGGTTGGAAACATAATTGCGAATGGATGAGTGATGAATATTTATGGGAAGACCGGTGTTGGTAGGAATATCCATAACAGACCATAGCTGCATTAGTGATGTTTTGACATTCTTGCCCAGGCAAGGACCAAGAAGTTTTGAGACTTGTGATATCAGCAAAGGGTCTGCAAGGGCAGCAATGATGGACAAGTACATGTATGCCCACTGAGGGTCTGCACATGTGCTCAGTATATAGTCATACAGCTTGTACACCTCTGTTCCTGGCAACAGCTCACTTGATAGCTTGAGTATGAGGTGAAGCTGATCACAGGGATCATGGTCTCCATCACCAATAAACTTCATCATCATAGATGCCACAATGAAATGTCTGCCTGCTCAGCTTGCCAGCTTCACAAGTTGATCCCTTGATGGCTGCAGGAAATCAGGGTGGTTATCTGCTAGCTCTTCAAAGGAATGCTGCAAAAATATATAGATATCATTGTCAACATTGGTGCTGTCTAGCAAGACGATGGTCCCAATGCCTTCCCAGAAGTTTTCACAGGTATTTCACACAACAATGGCTGCACCTCCTTATTCTGAAAGGCTTTGCAGATATGCAATTCCGAGCAACTGGTGAGTAGAATGTGTGTCATGGGTAGATCAGGCTCATGAAGAGCCTGTGCAAGGAAAAGGATAAGATCAGTAAGCTCAGGTTCAGATGTGCATTCATCAAGGGCATCAATAACAAATGTCAAAGGGGGACACTTGTGCAATCTGGATCAAAGCCACCAGAGAGGTTGGGGAAAGAGAGCCTCCATCTGGTCACAGAGAGGTGCATCAGGGTCTAGTAGAGTGGGATTATCATGGATAGCCCTGTTTACATCCTTCCAAATGCTGGGGAAATTGTTGGCAAGCTGGTAGACAAGTGTTGCAAAGAAATATCCAGCCATGCAACATTTCATGTGCTTGTGTGAGAAAAAGAATGTTCCTGCTAGCTGCTTTTCAACATTCATCTCTTCTGTCACTTTTAGACCTTTCATCCTCTCAGCTACAGTGAACATGATGGCAGACTTTCCAATGCCTGCCATGCCATGCAGCCATATAAGTTGATTCTTCTCTTGTTCATCCAGTAATCGGTAAATGTATTTGAGGAAATCCACCCAGGTCCCATCCAAACATTTTGGATGGGGCTGATGTTCATGGGAGTTATATTGAGCACCCTTGACAGCAACTTGGGACAGCCTCGCCCAAGTTCCTTCAAATGATGGAAGAACTGTCAAAGGTCAGAAACCAGGAGAGGAACGAGAGTGAGAAAAACCAACATTGTTCCTCACTCATTCATGGAGGTTGTGATCTGTGTGATGAAATGGACAAGTTGAGAGTACTAGCTGGGTGCGGTTAGAAATCATCTGGGTGATGATTATCTCCAGGGACAACATACAAAGTTTTGAAGAATCTGTTGGAGTCAAAGTTGCCAAGGTTCCCAAAGTGCGATGGTAGGATAAATGGATGTTTCAGTCTATGGAAAGACTGCTGGATGGTGGTGGGATGCAGTTCAAGGAAGAGCGGGTGCTTGTCCGATTACAGGAGGCCACAAGGTTGCTGTGCATGCTGTAGTACTACATCATCAGAGAGATCTGGGCTGTACAAGTGAAAACCTGTAAGTTTTGCAGTATCAGGCACAGCATCTGCATCCTAATTCCGCTTCGACTCTACATAGAGCAATATATGATAATCCAAAACACTGCATTTCAGCGCGTTAGTAGTACTTATGCCCTTCCATTCCTAACAAAGTCAAATATCGAGTCTCCCATAGATGTGCTCTACTAGATGGTCACGCGAGTTCATGTTTTCACTCTAGCACACGCAATTCTACACAGAATCCTTATGTACATCGCACATAGGTTCTCCCCAGCATAATACACATTGTCATATTTTTTTGGTGAAAAAAAACCAAGTGCTTCCCATGCCAGGGCTCAGTTTATGGTGCTGGAGGCTAGTTTTACACATAGAATGCACACTCCAGCAGTCATATCATCATGGAAAATTCTGAAATGGTACATGGGGATTGTACATGGGCCATGTTAAAATAAATACTCCAGGGACCACTTTCTTGATAGAATGATGCATATGTGCAGCATGTATGAATTGAGACTTCGCTGTGCCGAAATGCGGCACTGAACACACGCGTTGATGCTGGTGTATACGCAGTTGTGTGGAGTGTGAAATGGTTCGACGACAGGGTGACATAGTGTAACAAAAACGCGAACTCTTGAGACAATCCCACTCTGCTACACTCTCCGCAGGACTCAACTCTTCGCATCTCAAGAAAAAAACTAGCAGGCATTGTATTTTAGACATCAGGCTATCCGACGGTAAAAGAATTGTACATTTTGACCCAGACGTTGAGGAGCTATTGTTGTTGCAAAAAAAACGCGAACTCTGGTGACCATCTAGTAATAGACGCTACGCCAAAAATGTGCGAACTCTAGTGGACATCTAGTACACAATGATCCACACAGTAGTAGCCTATATTTTCATTACCGAATACTAAATCTCTTTCGTGCGATCGAGCCAGTATTAACTTCGTGGCTGATAGCTATTCCGAATCTTCTCCATGTCTTTCCCTCATCATCTGTTGCCAGTAAAAGCCAGAACCACCAGTTGGGAACATCATCAAACGACCAACTCTGTTCCCCAAAGGTTGCCAGTACAACTTCGCCTTTTTTCGCTTTCCGATTCAAGAACCTCTCTCTTTCCTCGCGCTCCTTGCTTGCGATTTGCTGTCGCAAGGTAGGCGGACCAAAGAAAGAAGGTTCGCGCCCGCTATTGGAGGGTTCCAATATCCCCCCAACAATATATATTCCGGTTTGAGGCGGCCTTTTACGGAAGAGCTCGGCATAGCGTGGCATGAGATGGATCTCAATATTGAGATCATCATGCTCTACCGCAATCGACGCGAAACTCAAGCTTGTGGCAACTTTCTCCACTTCGAGATGGTACATGGACATGTGCAGTATGCCCTCAGGGTCAACATGAGACAAGAGTTCGGCATGCGGCGTAACGCCAAATATATCTTTTGGTTGCCAGCCAAAGCCCGCAGGAAACCACGAGACGCCGAGACCGGGTTCATCCCTTTCGTAGAATTCGTGCTGGAGCGTAAGTAAAGCAGATAAATCCCCATCTCGAACTCTCAAGTAGGAAAATATGGCGAGAATGATCCCTGGTGAAAGTTGATAATCCACCGGGAGTGAATTGCGAATTTTGAAGGGAAATAGGCCAAGAATGCCGTAGACGTTATCATGAAGGAACGAGCAGTCTCGCTTGCGACAGTACTGCAAGCAGAGTTCAGGTGACATTGGGCGATCCCAATTTGATATTGGGAGAGAAATGGGAAATTCGTCGCTCGTTATGCTGAGAAGGATACGAGAGCGGGGCGAAACCGAGTCGCTAGTCCTGACCAATTCATTGGCGTCGATTCGGATGTTTCTAGCGCGGACTACAACTTTTCTGGCCAAGTACGTCTCTTGGAAGACCCAGACCCGTTTGGCATGATACCCCTTCATCCAAGTTATAATCCTGCGCCAAGCTTGGTCGCTTCTGGATTCTGGCCCTGCGTCATCTTGGGAAGGGCCTTCGGCGGTAGCATAGCGCCGGCGTAGCGCTTCGGATACAGCAACGCAGCAAGCTGCATTACTGTAATAGTCACTCATCCTTGGTATCTCACGTGCGACATCTTCTGGATCCGCTTGGTTGACGCAAATGCTGTCCATCCAGACATACTCAAGACCCATCAACAAGGCTTCCCTGGCGACAAGGAAAAATATCTCTCGTAAATATTCCCGCGATAGCCCTGCTGGCACTTCCGATGGGCAGTGCAAACGATCCAACTCCCTTTCCTCTGCATCAACTGCCTGAACGATGTTTGGATGCATGAGGCAAGTCAGACGGAACCAATCGTCGAATGTGGGTGCCTGGGGTATGTCGTCCCACAAGCCAGAATAGTGTTCTGAAGTGCCCGTAAATCTGTCTGGATTCCAGAGGTAGGATGCAATGACGTAGCGCTTTGTGGTATCATTCTGGATGGCTTCGACTTGTCCCGTGAAGATGTTAATCAGCCTTGTGGGGACATGTCTGGGGGCCGATAATGCATCTGTGCTCTGATCTAGTGCATCGAACTTTTGCATTGCGTTGATCCAGGCTACCCGAGCCCGGTCGGGTTTAGCAATGGATGATTGGCCATCCAAGTTCCTTGACGACCCGAGTCTAACTTGAAGGAAGGTTCGTAACCAGCGAAATGCTGCCAACAAGTACCTAGAAGCAGGGTGAGTTGACTCGAGTCTCCACAGGTTCACGATATAGTACCTTAGCATTTGGGAAGTAAGCTCATCCAAATGCGTACTAGCGGTAGTAAGTCCAAGTTGACACCCAAACGACGATCGAATCGACTAGTGCGAGATTGAGATTGCAGGAGGATGATATAAATTGTAGTACGGTATTGCCCTGTACCAAAACGTCCTTCTAGTCAGCTTCAAGTTGCCCACGAGTTGGTGCACTACCGGCAGGCCACCGTGAGTCGTGACAGCATACAACGTGGTCACTGGCAGTCCCAGATTGGCAGGAAGGTTTGATACTGCGTTGACGACTTGATTGTGGACTCGGACCAGTCTGATTCACGTACGGAGTTTTGAGTAGTAAAGAAGGTTATTATTGGTGCTCTAAGTCATCTGCCGCTCACTTCGAGTATTGCGGCTCCAGGCGCAAGACTTCAAGGACGCCTACCAGTAGGAGCTGATGGGAGAGAACAAAATTAAGTTAAAACAGACCAGCCAAACGGTGTCTAGAGGAGAAGAGACGGGAGGAACCAGAAGCAAAGCAAATGATTACGTCGATGATGTGGTAGGTATTTGGTTAAATTTCCGAGTTTCCTCTGGATGACGTGCACCGGTGTTCCCAGAAGTAATTTAGTAAATGACGAAGAATCCGAGTCTTCACACACTGTGTGAAACCCATCGATGAACTGACCACCAATATTTCAATCATTAAAATCAATCATGAACGGTACTTGAAAGACTTGTGCAATTCGGACCCTTGAAGGTATTACAAGTTGCACCCCAGCGATTCAGTTCTGGAGAACGTTTGTGTCAATCACGAGTGGCTGTCAAGAATCTTGGCAATTACAAGTACTGTTGAACGTCGAACTGCTAGTCGAACTGGAGTTAAGGCCGTGACAGCGCGGCTCTAAGCTTGATTCAGAGATCTCGACATCGACGTTCATATATATGATTTATGGGCAATATATGAGTCTTGTATACGGCAGCACCTGAGAACGACTCTATACTATTCCCGCAGCTTCTTTGTTCTGAACAGGCTGAAAGTTTTTCAAAATAACTCTGCAGCTACTCTAATATGGCCATCAACGTCCCATCTACAAGATTGACTTTTATAAGCTCCTCAAGTCCGAACTAACTCAACGTTCAATCATGCACTTCCTCTCTCGACGCTCTGCGGAACCGTCAAGGCTATCTTCTGATTTGGACATAGCTGGAGGAAGAAACGCTGCAGCAGATAGTGCTGTTCCCCAGGAGAAATCTCCAAGTCGTGTTCTTAAACGCGTCACCACCCTCTTCAACCCTCGCAAAAGAACTTTGTCCAAGAACACTAGCCCCGTGGGCGGCCATGGAGCAGTTGGATTCATTCGTGATGCCGCTGCAACATATCCCCGATCCTCTAGTGATTCCTCTACTGCATCACCAGACGAAATTAGGAGACCCAGCGGCCTGGGACGCAGAGCCAGTTTGATGGAGTCTTTACAATCACCCAGCGATCTAGAACGGTCAAATGAAAATGGAGGTGAGGCAAGCGTGCTCAAGTCTTTGCCCGTTCTATTAACTAATCTGTTCATTTTTGTGCAGGATTGTTTGCAGAACACGCAACACATGCAGGTGTTGCGATCCAGCGCCTTCCTGTGGAGCTGTTAGAGACAATTCTGTCTTTCTTACCCAAGTTCGATTTGCCGCGTATTGCCCTTGTTTCGGCTCAACTCTGCGACGCGTCGCGTAACATATTATATCGGATACTCGACTTCCAATTGATATCAGAGCCACAAGTTGAAAAGCTTTGTAGAACCCTTGCCACCCATGCGTCTCTCGCTGCAAAGGTCCAATCTTTCTTGTGTCACTTTTGGCCAGCAACGACATCATCTGACGGCCATCTTATACCATCTCTTGATCTCATGACTGCGTTGCATAATATGTCGAACTTGCAATCTCTTACGCTACGGACATTTGTTCCAGTATTTTCGCAGTCGCCTCTTCTTTCTTTCCGATTGAAGACATTGGTCATCCTTGATGACACAATCTCTGTGGAGCAAATCATCGACATTCTACATTTCCTCAGAAATCAATCCTCCCTACAATATCTAGCCTTTCCTAACGTCGTCGAGAATCCCTCATTACCCGAATGTTCCTTCAATCAACCCATATTTGCATCTGGTCTCGCACGAGAAACCATGTTGCCATCGCTCTCTCAACTACATGCTCCTCCACGACTCATGATGGCAATATGCTCCTTACTGGGACAAGCGCTCCAAACTGTTGTTTTGGATGTCACCACCACGCTGTACACAGGGTTGCGGCCTGCCGTACTCCTCCGTGCAATTCAAGGTGTCTCCAAACTGGATGTAGTCTTCACTCACGAAGTGGACAAACGAACAGTTGAAAAATTCTTGGGTGCTGCTGGTGGAATACTGTCCGGTAGCGGCGCTGCCAATAGTCGCGGCCTCACCGTTTTGGAGGTAGAGGTGCTTTGGATGGAAGATGACACTGCCGAAGTCAGTAATATTTTCTGAATTCAAGAATCGTTGATTTTGACGCTTTGCTCGAAGATACTATATGGCATCATCGATGCAATCATCTCGCGGTTTAATGGCCTGCGCACACTCAAGATCACCACACCATTTCGTTCCAGACAGTCACAATTGTTGACACCCCCATTGTCTGGATCCCTCCAACTGTCCACATCATCCAATACTCCCACAACGCCCTCGTCTGGCCTTTCCTCGATGTTGATTACTTCACCTGTGGGCGTTGTTCTATCAAGTGAGTTTGTGAGCTCAGGTACAGAGAGGACACATGCCAAAATGTGGACGAAAGCTTGCTCTACGCTGAGTGACATTCAGTTTTGTTTTCCGGATCCATCGCTAGAGGCAGACGTTGGGCTGTGTGGAGTCTGGTTTCACAGGAGGGAGTGATAGTCAAGCGTTGGCCAGATACACTAGAGTAGAAATTTATCTATTTGGCTTCAATTATATCTGACTTCATTTCGTCGAGCTTGGTGAACTTCAGAATGTTGAAAGTCAAGTGTTACCATAACAGGATGTAAGTATGTATAGTGATATGCAAGATATATGTATGCGAAAATTAAACGGCTAGATACCGAAAGTCTACCTTGGTGTTCTAACTGCACGAGAAGTGTCGACCGTAATCACATCTAGCAGTCATGCAAACCCATCTATCAATTTGTGCGAAGACGTTTCTTGGCATGCCCGTTCGCATGACCATTGGTGGCCGCATCATCCACTGTCGAGAAGTAGTCCATAGATCCTTTAGGGTCCGGCTTGATGGTTTTATCACCCTCAGTCCAGCCCAAAGGGCAAACCTCTCCATGTTCCTCCTGCAAAAGATGCAGTGAAACGTTACGATATACAAAGAAAAAACCGTACCACAAATTGGAAGGCCTGGAGAAGACGAATGGTTTCGTCCACAGATCGACCAACGGGCAAATCATTAACAGTGATTTGCCTATTAACAGTCTGTCAGTTACCAAAGTGGTCTAGGATTTATAGAGAACCTACCTGACGATACCCTTGGGGTCAATGATGAACAAACCACGCAGTGCGATACCTTCCTCCTCGATGAGGACACCATAATCCTTGGATATCGTCATGTTCCTGTCCGCAACCAAAGGTAGCTTGAGGTCAGGTCCAATGCCGCCCTGCTTCCTCGGTTGTTGCGCCCATGCAAAGTGTGAATACTGAGAATCCGTGGAAACACCTATAAAACCATCAGAACGCGTCTAATAGACCACAAAATGATTCCGAACTAACCGAGAACGGATGCATTCAGCGCTTTGAATCGAGGAAGCGCATCATTGAAAGCCAAGATCTCAGTTGGACAAACGAATGTGAAATCCCTGTTTGCGTGACGACAGCCATGGTGAGAATATGACGCTGGAGGAGAAAGATCATCCTTACATGGGATAGAAGAAAAGAATCACCCTTGCAGATAATTGCTAATGTTAGCCACTCCTCTCACGAATGTCTGACGCATGAGACGCGTACCATTGGCCCAGGTATTCGGACAAGGAGGTCTCCTTGAATTCACCCTCTACGACTGCGGTAGCTGTGAAGGCTGGTGCTGGGCGCTGAACGAAGACGGCCATTGTAGTGATGCTGGGTTGCGAATTCAGAAAAGAGGCGAATTGTTTGAGTGGTGTCCCACGCGTGAAGATTTTATATGAAATAATAAATCCACTTAACCGACGTGTTATGTGTCTTTGTTTGGCTAGTCGTGAACCCATCAAACGCGTCCGAATGAAGAATTTGTTTCAGGGTCTGATCCTGTGTGCATGTACTTGCACATGCTTGCACGCCACTCAAGAAGACTATATCATGTGGCGAATCTGCCATAGCATAAGGAAAACTTTGTCGAAACGACGACGAAGTGCGAAGCTCGTACTAAGTAGTAACTGACGAGCTCTGATTATGGTGTCTTGTTATCATTCGTACCTTTCTCGGTTCCACTTCAAACCCTGAGCAAACAAAGTCCGTCATTCATAATGAAAAGACCCCAGATTCCATCTTCGCTTCAAGGTAACGTTGCACCCCCGCTACTGTCTTTTCTTCATTAACGTCTCTCCTTCGTTACTTGAGATGGCGCTGAAGTTTGTCGTTGTCAGTAGATTCCTGGTGCACATTGCAAATACTCACCGTGATCGATCAACAGGCAAAACGATCTCCACCATGTATTTGCAGCATTTCTCCGATCGATGGTTAAGTTATGGGCACAATCGTATTTATGCCTGATAAGTCCAATTCAAACAGGGCCCCGGCAAGGTGCCTGCATATGTGCATATCATGCGATGAGGGCAATTGGAATCCAATTCAGAAATCGAGAAGTACATAAAGCCATCAGACTATGTACTAACTGCGTAAGTGGCAAGGTCATTTACTTTTACACCTAAGGCCTGCGAGGAGAATTTACACAACTCAAATAGCGCGACCAGGCGGGGTGACGGGAGTCGCATGGCTACTCAGCCTACTATGCTACTCCAATTCAGCTAACGCACGTCCAATGTTGTTCTCATCCTCCACTCCCAAGTTTCGAGTAGCAATCTGGTGAATCGGATAACTTCTCACAAACGGGACGCAGACTAAACTCCCTATGTAGTGGTGCAGGCATAGGAGGGCTTGTCCTCGCTATCACGATTGGCAAGTTCGCAGGGCGTGATATTCACATAGACTTATACGAAGCGCGCGATGTCATCGCGACCGCTGGGGCTGGGATTTCAGTCTCGCGACGCACGGCGGAGGTCATGGTGGAACTCGGATTATATGAAAAATCCCCCCACCCTTCCTCTAGCTACGGTCTGTTTCGAGAACCTGTGTCGCAACCGCGTTTAACCTGGTCCGTTTCAACAGGTCTGAGATTAAGGAAGTCTAATGCCCCAGAGGGTGGTTTTGATGTCTTCAAAACGTGTCTGTGAACTCCATTATTTCGAACTGGGGGTAGGAAGATGACAAGACCTTTCACAGTTAGACCGGGATCCAATATGCATCGCAAGGATCTCATTGACGTTCTCAAGCAAAGCATCTCGTCCTCATGCACTGTCCACTTTAATAAACGGCTTACCAAATATGAAAAGCAATCACCAGGATCACTCATCCTCTACTTCACTGATGACAGCACATCGACCGCCGACGTGTTAGTAGGGGCAGACGGTATCCACTCATCAGTGCGGAAGACATTCTTTGAAGCAATAGGCCCAGACACCGTAGACCCAAGCAAGATAAGACACTATACTCAACCATCTTGGACTGGAACGCTTGTCTATCGTAGCGTCTTTCCAGCGGAGAAGCTCTCGGAATTGGATCCAAATAACGTAGCTTTGAAGTATTTCATTATAGTAAGTCCTCAGAAAGCGGTCAGGATTGTCAGGAATAACTTTTATTTCGTAGTTCTGCGGGAAGGGAAAGGTAATTTATCACAACCAACTGGTCCCTACTTGCTGACGAACACTTGAAAGCACATCGTCTCGTATCCTGTTTCGCAAGGAACGCAGATCAATGTCGCAGCATATGCTTCTGATGAATAGAAAGCTGGCACACCTTTTGAAGGCCATTGGGTTTCAGATGTGTCGCTAGAAGAGGCTGAGGAAGCATATCAGGACTTCGAGCCTGACGCCAAGCACCCCCTGAACGTAATTTGGGCCGAGTCGTTTGTGCTATCCTCGACTCATGAATATTTTTCGCAGCGTTTCGAAAACCCTTCAAGATGAGCACTTCACGTGGTAAATGAATTGCCGTTATTCACTTGCGACAGAGTTGTGCTGATAGGTGATGCGGTGAGCCCCTCTTTGCTGCCACGACAATCCTTTGACTAGATCATATACATAGGCCCATGCCATGACGCCCTACTGTGGGGCTGGGGCTGGTCAGGCAATCGAGGTATGGCATGTTCATTTAGCAGATCATGCAAACTCATCTCTTTGTATCAAGGATGCTTTTGTCCTTGGTCGCCTTCTTGCACACCCACTCACAACATTGGATAACGTGCCCGTCGCGCTGAAAGCATACCAGGACGTCCGCCTCCCGTTCGCTCAATTCGTAGCATGTGAATCGAAACGTACAGGAAAGATGTACGATTTTCGCGCACCTGGTTATTATGATGGGACAGATCGAGGCAACGGACGAGAGGAGATGGAGGTTCTGAAAGAGAAGATCTTAGACCAGTGGCATTGGGAAAGTAAAGGTGAAGGTGGTACTGTTGCTGAATGGGAAAAGGCAGAAAGGCAACTGCAGGAGGGCTCGTGCAATGGAGGATATGAGAACGGTACATCATGATCACTGTGTTCTACACTGTACACTAGCACTGAGATCGACCGCTGTTTTAAAATGACCTTGCGGAATAGGCATGTCCTTGATAGTCCAGCTGTGAACCTCTGCTCTCATTACCAGCATTCGATCCCGCAACCCAACACTGCAGTTGCCTTTTCCATCTGCAGAGGTGCTGACCAAAGCTGTCTCCTTACCTGAGAACTGCTGCTTGAGAATATCAGTATCGGTATCATTATTCACTGACTTCCTTCGTTGCGAGAATACCCACCTCTGGTAAATGTGCTTCCTGTTGCTAACATGGCAGTCAAACCTCATTCAGACGCTGTATTGTTTGTATCCTAGCGTGTAGTACATCAATCAATGAATAAAATAATATGATGGGTAGCCTTATACAAGGGGGCACATTGCACAGCCGCGAAGCCTGTTCGTGACGACCATAAAATAAAGCGTGCCTTGAGTCACCGGAACAGGACGAGCGCAACAAAAGTTACAAAAGAATGGTGTTTGATGCGGTGAAGTGGGGTATTCTGGATAAGCAAAAAGATAGGTGATAAAGAACACATGACCGCGAAGCCTGTTCGTGGCCGTATACTAAAATAGGTCAGAGTGTCTTGTTGTAGCGCTCATGCCCGTGCCAATGCGCATGTGCATCAGGGGTTCCAGCAAGCTCGGGCAACAATGTTGGAGGGTGCACGAGTTGAGTGCCGCGTTTAGCACCGCTGCCGTTGCTAGAGTGGTGCTAAAACGTGTTGTTACCATTCCCGCGGAACACAGTGCAAGGACTGGGGAATGGGAAGTTCATCCTGCTCCGCCGTAAATCTGCAGATCTGGAGTCGGGGATTTGCTATGTGAGCGGTGTTACGTATCGATATGTGATTCATTCAAATTTGTACCTGTATGTATTCGAATGTGGTGATGGGTGCACCGAGTGAGATCTTGAGAAGCAATCCATTGACCATGTGTCTGAGAACAAGAATTAGGATGTAATTAGTCTTGTAGTAAGTAATGTACATAGATTTTTCAAAACTCTTTAGCGCAGCACTGCGATTATGCTCAGCGTGCGGGTGCCAGAGGATGGCCATGCAAGTAAAAATGTTACTTGAAGCGTCAGTGGTACTTTGCACAACTGAACGCCAAACAAATTACCATATTAAGAAGGAACAAGTATGCAATCGAGATCCAGGTGCAGATCGGACAAAACCTTCGCCGTGGACAACTACATATGTCAAACATATCAAAATGTTGCAGCTACCATTGAAGCCAGATTAAAATATAATAATTTATTGCTGCTGTCTATATAAGTAGGATCCTACGTACATTGGTTTTCAATGTTTCCATTACCTTCCGAGTCCCAAAAAGACAGCACAGACTCAATGTACCAACAAGACGACTCATATCCCGGGCTTAAACTTGCCAATCGCCAAGGTTTTGTTACAGACGGCAAGCACGATTGAAATATACCATCCCTGAAGGCCTGACATGTGGCTGTGTCAGTTTGCCTCTCTATCGTGGGCACCACCTGGGCCGAGCTCGAAAGAGTCACAGCAGCAGATAATAGCAGTGAGTTTCACCAGTTGGGCGAACTATTGTTAAACCGCATGATCGTCACAGCCACTGGCTATACAATCATATCAACAATCGCCATACTGAAGACACCTTGGGATCCATCTGCGCTATCAGTCGTAGGAAATTTCTTCACTGCTTTCGGTGCGTGTCTGTGAATTCGGATCACATTAAACGCTGATATTTTCACCATATAGGCGCCATCTCTGGCATACGAATCTATGCATGTTTACGATCGCTGATGAGTTCCCGCCGCGCTGTGTATGTAAGTAAAATTATTGTTACAGCAATTTTTAAAATCTCATTATTCAAACAGAATCTATCTCAGTCCAGCTGTTTTACTCTATTCTTTCTTCACCAGACATTCACGTATACTTCTTCTTTCATTGCATGTTTACTTACAGTGGTAAATTACCTTTACTCTGTGCTGTGTTACACAGCGCTGCCTTGGAAAATTTCCCCCCCCCCTTTATTGGGATTGCTGCGGTTGTTTGCATACTAGACTGTACCTTGTAATTGAGCAATGTGATTTTGCACCTGTGACTTCCACTAATTGGAGGTGCTAATGCATAGGGTTATCTGTGCTGCTTGGTCGCCAGAAAGCTCGTCCTCTCATGATGCCATTGCTTGAAGTGTCAAGGCCGTATATGCGTGCCATGTACCTTCAGATATAAAGCTTGCAGGACAATATAGGGCCGGCAGTGCGAGATTATTAATGGAAGCTCTCAACAGATATTTGCAATGAGTCGTTGCGGGCCTACATCCTAACCTGCTCGGAGGATTGGATATATATTATCAAGCCTGCATTTGTTACAAAGTCTTACACCGGAATTTGGGGTCAAATAATGGTAGGGGAAAATGTTGTGGAAATGACAAGTAATGGAAAGATATACAGTGGATAACCATAAGATAAACATGTCACCTTTATTTTACCGTTTGTCCAAGCAATCAGCAAGTTATCGCCCAATAAAGGAACTCATTTCCCCTGAATAATCAGAAGCCATTATTTGCACATGGTCAAGCTACTTGAAACAGCTCAATTGGTGGTAGCCTAGAAATTGCTCTAATCTACTCAGTTCCGTTCTTCCAGCCTCGCATCCTGCACATTTTGACCCATCCACCTAAGCTGCACCCTTTCCAGACCATAGTTATGGTAGGCCTCACAAGAAATGTGCCCAATAAGCCAGCCAGTGTCCCCTTCAGGCCACCCGGTGCTATCAAGCCACGATCAGCAGCTGGCACGAAACGGAAACCAGAAGCTATACCTAGCATGTCTGGTGCAAAGCAAGTACAACCTGCAGGAGGGGGGAAAGGGGACGGGTCTGGCCCTGTGACATTCCTAGATCCATTTGAACCTCCCAGAGTATTTGAGCCAGAGATGAGTATTGCAGAATCAGAGGCACTTACCAGGCAAATGCAGCAGCGGCAATGGTACCACACTGAAGAACAAGCCGAGGATGACAATGATGAGGGTCTCAATGATGACCCTGATGGATATATCGACCCAGTGCTTTGCACAGAGAGACATCAGCCAGTGTTCAATAGACAGCGCAGTCCCACACCTGTTGAAGATGAAGAGTACTCCTCCCTTCCCCCCAGCTCTCCTCTGGCTGCCCCATGGCACATTACAAAGGCTTGTGCTCCAGTGCCATTGAACCTAGCGACAGGTCGGGTAGGCCCAAGGACAGTCTCCTCTCGACCCTCATCAGTCACACCGCTACTGGAATCGTGTGAATTGTCAGTTACTCCAGCAAGCAGCGTATTTGAACCTCCTATTAGACATCACCTGGCACTGCAAGCACCAACCCCATGATCTGGACAGACTGGTGCAGGTGGCTTTCGACCCGGAGCTCAACCAGAACTGAAATATCGCAATGCTCAGCCTTGTTGAACTCACATCAACAACCAGCACCTATGCATATCAATTCCAGACCTGGAGCTTCTAGTGCAGCACTCTTGGATAAACTTGTACATATAGACACCCTCATCTCAAACCTTTGCATGAAAATTGAGCAGCTAGAGTTGGTGAGCAACAAGCGTACTGACCACGAGCAATGCATCCAACATCTCACCAATGAGAATGCTGCATTGTAGACAATTGTTGAAGAGCACCGAACCATGGTATATGATCTCCATGTGACAGTCAAGGCGCAAGGCATGTTGATGCAGGAACTGGTCACAATGATAGATGACCTTCGAGGCTTGAACATTGCAGTTCTGACCATGAAGTCTGTGGACAAGGCAACAAAGGCGGTAAGAGACAACATTTTCAATGTAAGTCACCTGTGTTTCATAATAAATATATCCACTTACATGTTCTCCAGAATGCAATCCGACACTCCTTCTTTCACACAATGGGCATTTCGGATTCAAAACAAGCTCTGTTGTTTGAGGTGATCGAGGACGGAGTTTTCTGGTTTGAGTGCCCCACTCATGATGCCAACCTCCTGCATCCAAATTTCATTGGATCATGGTCTGATAACGCAGAGTGGTGCAATGACATGATTCATTATGTTCAACAAAAAGGATGTGAAGTGTATCCTCAGCTTCATGCAGACCATCTTGCACAAAAAACAGATGCTGACATTGTTAGACAGTTGTGGGAGGTGTTTGAAAACACCAAGGACATTGTGAAGAAAGGAGGCAAAGGGGCAGATATGGTGGTTGCAAAGAAGATCAAGCAGTGGCAAACTGCCCACAAAGGTCGTGTAAGTATTTTTAAGCTGCATACTAAGCACTGAACTTACCATATTGTGCCAGAAAAACACTGAAAGATTGGCTGTTGATGTCAGGAAGGAGACTGGCACGGATGGCCCTGAATGGGACTGGTTTTTCCAAGTCTGTTATCAATCTACAGATGAGTCAGATAGTGGGGGAGGTAACAGTAGCAGACCCACCATCGAATTTGAGTCCAATACTGAGATAGCTCCACAAATGACTGGGAAGAAATCATCGAGGGGGAAGAATGCAGATGCTTTTTGGGCTTCTTGACCCCCAGCCTATCAAGATGAGCAGGTGAGACAAGGACAACACTGCTTGAATAGACCTGACCTTTTGCACTTTAAGGTCAATGAAAAAGTCCTGTTGATGGATGCTACTGTCAGTAAATGAAAAGCAGAGCGAGGTGGACATAACTTCAGTGTTCCCATCACAAGAGGAGAGCTGTGTGACAAGGACCTACCACAACCAGGAATCAAGAAACTCAAGATCTCCAGGGCATTCATTAGTGCTGACTGGCTAGCTGCACACCCTAACATGGATGCTCCTTCCCAAATGACTCCATGGCAAGAAGACAGCTTTGACACTGCAGATCAGAGGAACAGTGAACTTGGAGCTGCTCATAGTAATGATGTGGCATATGATGGAGAGGATGAAGAGGGTATCAAAGACCAAGAACTGATACCTGGACCAAATGGTCAGTGTTCAAGGTATGGTTATGACTTGTAACTCATGCTCAATCATTTGCATCCAGATGCAGACTTTGACAGTAAGTTAACAGTTTGATTATGAACCAAATACTAACAGTGAAGCGACATGGATAGGCATTTACGAATGAGCATTGGCACTTCTCTGCTCTGTTGCAGAGAGATAGGTTGGACTTGTAATGTTAGACTGCACACACTGTAGAACCTATCATGAATGGAATCTTGATCAGATAGTCAGTGGTAAGATCCCAACCAGAATAGTGTGACAGAGAGTAAAACCTTCATACTAGATAAGAACAGTGTGGGTGACGCAGTCACCAGGGTCCTTGGTACAATATCCTGCAGGCATAATCAATCATCAGTGACTTCCATGTCAACCTCTGTCCTGTCCTAGTGCACAATTAGCAGTAGTGGCGATGTAATTTGTACAGTACATACATGGTTGTGGGTGACTGTCACCCAGTAATCAGAGCCATGGACAGTGATCGGGATAAATATTAGCTGACCAGACAAGAGCTCAGCATCAATGGCCTCTGTGTCACCAAGAATATTGGCATGCCAGACCTGAACACCTAGATCAACAGCACTGCAATAGAAAAATTGGGAACCAATCACTCGAGAAATGAAACAAGACAAACTGTAAATCCCATGGGAATGCAGGCACTCCATCACTTGTAATGAATCGACAAATGACAGCTACTGTTTTAGAAAGTTGACGGTCATGGTCATAGTCAAGTTTGATCTTGAATATCCACTGTATTTCAACAGCAGTGCAACCTGCAATGTAGCCATAGCAAGCTGATTGTCCACAGGGCTGGGTTGCAGCACCATAATGAAGAGCTTCAACAAAGATGTGCGAATAAGACATGACGTGTCCCATGAAACAGATACCCTCATTTGCAAGAACAACATCAGCATGGATGATGATATTATCATCTCTCCAGGTGTTCTGCAGAAAACGCAAGACCAGTCCATACAGTAGTGGATTGATGGCCTGAAGATTAAGGTTCTTGTGATGGTGGGGATAAGTCACATGTCCTGCTCTCATTAGAACGGACACATACAGTTCAACTAAGGCAACTCACATAGATTTCCTTCCTCTCCAAATTGTGCTAAGTACTCCTGTAAAGTTCCACGACATGGACAAGTTCCTCCTTTAAGGCACGACTCAAGAAGCTCGACAGAATCACAATCATTATCATCAAGCTCCAGAAGTCTATGAAAAGCATTCAGCTACAACAAAACTCAGCGAAAATAATGTGATGAAAGGAAACAGCCAATGAGATCACATACCAATACCCATTTCCACCATTTATGCATCATGGTACATTCAAGCTCACCGCCCTTGTGGTTGTTGTGGTTCATCCTACCAAGAAAACCATTATTACATTCGTAAGGAAAGGCCCATGTAGCATAGCACAGTCCAAATTGGAGAAGCTGACAGTGAAGGTGCTGAGCGAAGTGAAAGTAGGGTGTCATATGACAGCCCATATGGGCCCAGTTTTGACATGCTCTTGACAGAGCAGCACATCCACAGTCAATCTCATCTGGACTAATCGAGCAGGATGAAAGGATTTGGATTGTGGTAGAGAATGTGAGGACAGTTTCATAGTGGTGCCGAATAGATCTATCCATTGTTGAAGTGTTGATCTCATCGAGCTGCTCATCTGTAGGATTTTCAGTTTCTGATAACAAAGTCTCTAAACATCGCTGTTGCATAATTTTCTCAGCCTTCACATGTGCAGTCGCATTCTTTGTATTTGATCTTGATTTCAGTGCATCAATGTCAGGCAACGTGCCATCAACCTCCCATGAAACAAAAAGTCCAACAAAAAGAACGCTAATGTGAAGGTGCCATTGATCAGCCTTCAAAGAGGAAGAAGTAACCTTTAATTGTTGATTAGAAAGCACAGCAAGTATATTGTGGATGACCACATACTGATGGAGGTAATCGTCCTACTGAGACTGGCCATATGATTTGGGAGAAAAACTCATCAATTTGTTCAAGGGGATACCAGTCGTTACGTGGAATTGGACTGAGCATTCCCAATTGAAGGATAATTATCTTTGTGACGTGCCTGACCATGCCTAGTAACAGATTTGTCAATCAATCATTCATTATAGAATGAGTCACTCACACAGGTAAATGCAGTGCATAAATTCTACAACAGAATTGAGTGATGTAAGCCAACCTGGGAGTCTATTGAGAGGGGACCATGATACTCCATGACGGTCAAAGATTTCTTGCTTGTCTGCATCTTCTGCTGAGTGGGCTCGAAATGCATATCGGATATATCGCCAGGGGTCTCATAATTTGAAACCTGCAAATGTGTCAGAAAACATATGTGTCAGACTCGGACAAATTACTTACATTCTGCATCGAAGCATCATGGATCGGCTAGGTGATAAGATGGAGTTTCACACTGCGGGCACATAAAAAGTTTTGATGAGAATGATGCAAGTCCCTCGAGCTTGCGATTCGCAGGTAAATCACACACCTCGGAGTTGAGAACAGAGTGGATGGGAAACTTGTTCTCATGTCCGTGTACCCGAAAATCATGTCCTAGTGCATAGTCAGATACAATGACTCGTTGTTTAGAACAGCACATACTGGAATATAGTTGTATCATTTCACTCATGAACCTGTCCATTATCTTGTTAAGCTGGTCGAGTGTCAGTTCATTTGGTCCTGGAATGACCATGATAAGGAAGGTCTCTTCAGTTAAGTACCGCACGCCTCAAGGATTGTTACAACATGTCATATAGAGCACTCTGGTCGAATGATTCCTGCGCTTGACAGATTGAAACCTGAAAATAGATAGATTAGTGGACAACAAGGATTGTAGAGTGAATGCTTACCAGTCAAGATTAATCTGCCAAATAAGTCTGCACAGGAGGGACACAAAGCATTGCAGGAGGTGGTTTACACCATCACCATATACCTGAGCAATTCGTGCTTCAGGGTGTATGCGCTGCAAACCTGCTTGAATAGCACGCCATCTGAAGGCATCATGGATATTGTGCATTGGGAGCCATGGAGTTGGAAAAGCATCCATGGCGTCAACCAGTGGTACATGTGTGGGCTCGTCATCCTCCTTCCTCCATTGCTGCAGCTGTTCATACTTCCCAGGCCAGAGAAGCCAGTGCTGGATAGCACAGCATGGTGGAACATAAGGGAGGACTTTTGTTGGTTTTCATTTCTGCTTGCCAGTGGCAAGAGACTTTGTAGTGTAGAGTATGCCATCACAGTCTTCTTCACTGCATATTGCATCAAGGTCGTCATTATAGAGTGTCGATGAGTCATGTACCTGCCAGCAGACTGGGCATAGAAAAAGGTAGGTGATGATTGAGTTGAGATTAATGCCAAGGCACTTCTCAATAGTTGGCAGAGTCCTGCCCATGTTATTGAGGCCCTCGAAATCGAGATCTGGTGCATTGTCTCAAGTGGAAGTCAGTGCACGTGTGACACCATCTAAGATGATGCGGCACACTTTGTGAGTGGCTCCCTTAAATGCAGCAGCAACATATGCTCGCACATAAGCATTCCAAATAGCAGAATGTTCATCAAAAGCAGGAGGCTCATCGAACAAGTCTTCGTCTTCATCAGCATCTCCTTGTTGTGCATCATCTTCACCATCATCAAGTGCATTAGCTGCTTGAAAGGCAGGGTTGTTGACAAGATCATCTGCTGCATCAAGATCAGCACCCTCATCTGAAAGGTGGTCACCAATGTCATCATCTAGTATAAGTTCCTCCTCCAGATCATGCAGAAACAGCACATCATGATTATGTACTATATCTTCATCGTCCAAGCTGAAAAAAGGGCAGTCATCACCATCTGCACTGGACATGTCATCCAAATCCATCAGATAGCCATCATCATAAGGGCCTGACCCCCAATTGTCGTCTAGGTCGGGTAATGGATGTCCATACAAGCCCCCACCTGAGGCAGGTGCAGGTAGAACCATGGCTGCCTCCACCTGAGGCAGAGCTGCTTGGTCATGGGTAGAGGAAAGGGGGGATGATGACTGGGCTGGGAGATTGCTAGGGCGGGTGTCTGATGAGGCTGTGGATGTTCCTCGCTGATGCTTATCTCCAAGTCTCCAGCATTGCAAGGCGGTCTTGATTGCGCTGATCAGCCTCAACATGCCTGCAGCGGGTTTTTTTGGCCTGCAGAAGACGGCCACCATCAGCAACAGAACAACAACTACATGTACACCATTCGGACATTCCGAGAGCTCGCGATGACAAGTTCCAATGCTGTCCTAGTTGTCCAGGGCAGTGTTTTGTACTGCTGGGGTGGTAGGTATTGCGGAGCAAGCAGGATGCCATGCGCACCATCGTCGTGAGAAGACAATGAGCGCGCAAGGCATACTGCGAGCGCGCAACGGGCGAGACTTGGCTATAGCGAGACGAAGTAGTAAGTGAATATTTACGGGAAACACGAGGCGCTCGTCCACGTTGGGTTTATTTTCCGATTACGTATGATTTCCGTAAAATAATGGCTACCTTTATTTCAGTCGAAATTCCGGTGTTAGTAAAGGAGAGCTAGCTGCTAATACACTAAAAATAACGTGTCGAAGATGTGACAAGGAGAAGATCGAACAGACAAAACTGAAGTTCAAGAAGGAGGGAAGAGAAGCATGCAGCTGGGGAGTAAGGATATGTTGAAGTCGTTATACGATGACTACGACATCAAGCTGAGCAGAGTCTGGGGTCTTTTCATTGTGAATGACGTGAGTGATCCGGACTGTGTTTGCTCAGGGTTTGAAGTTGTTCGGAGGAAAAATGATAACAAGGTACCAGACTGCATCGGTAACTTATATACCATACACAATTTGCACCCAACCCAGTTCTCCTGTCACTCTAAAGGATAGTGGATTTTCCTGCAATGGCTCTTCCTATGATTCGGGGGTTCGGAAGGGACAGAATTTCTGCTTGAAGAAATATGGCACACGCGAGCACTTCAAGTTTGATGCCGTTCATTTTCTAGTAGCAACACTGATTTGTACCTCTTCGAATCCACTCTCCAGATCACACAAATAAAAAATAAGCAGCGAGAGAACCCGAATGTAATCACAAACAGAAATCCTAACTCGGGTGGATAATCTACGACCATCTAGGAGCAAACTCCCTAAACCGGCTCACAGAGCCTTGCATACCTGCGCATTGAGGGCTGCTGGCTTGTATGGAGTAGGCTTCTGGTATTAGTTCCTCGAGATGCTAACGGAAAAATAAGACCATGAAGCTCAAAGTGGGAACACTACACTGACTTTGATTCTCCGCTCCGCACCAGGGTGCGTGCGCAAGAATTCCAGACTTGTTGTTCCATGCGCCTTTTCAAATTGTGCAAGTCGCGTATGCATTCTGTGATGTCGCGCACATAAGTCAGACAACGGAAAACCCACATCACTCACTCCACAGCGGCTTGGGGGTCAAAACATGCCTTTGCACTGAGCTGCATGCCGATAGTATCAGCTACGTCCCTGACGTCAGCATTTCCATATTTAAACTGGAAGAAACACACCTTCGTATTCCTGAGTCCGCGAATTGGGTAGCTCCAGTAGCAGCGTGCTTATGAGGTGGGTGATTCCAAAATCGAACCCGAAGACAGTTTGCAGAAGAACCGCTAGCGCTAGGAATACTTTAGAGGACGAATAACGTTCAGAAGCATGTCGAGCAACTGGCAAAGGGGTATTCAGAATGTACGTGCATGTTGTATCATGCCATCATACCCACGTGGGCCATCTCTGCCGAATAATTTGAGTTACGCAGATTATCCTTGGCAGAATTGCGTACCGTGTCCAAGGACAGCAGCCAAACCCTGTTCATCCTTGCATATAGGTAGAATTCCAGTGAAAACCACGATATTTCCTGTGGCCAGCATATATGTAAAGGTTCACTTGCAGAAGCAGCTCAAGAGCGAACCAAAGGTGGCCATGGCGTTCACACATGACGGATCATTCACAACAAGTAAATTCCATTCTTTACCTCCGCTTTCTGGGGTAGACGACTCTCCAGAAGGCCTTCCAGCGGTAAATGGGTCTTCGCTCCAGAAGTCATCTAGTGCTTCCACTAGTGACCGGCGAGGCTCGCTAGAACGTAAGTGGCCAAGATCCGACGACTCAAGAATACGATTAACAACTCGTTGGACGTGTTGTGTCACAGGATGATTGGAAGGTAGTATCTTGCCCTGAATTCAGCCAAAAGCTCGTCATATGCTGCCTGTGCAAGCTACAAGGGGGAATATGAGAGTTTATTCCTTTAGGCCAAGCTTGCTCTCACATTTGTCTCGTACTTGGGACTAATATCCATAAATCGCCACCTACCTGTTTCAGGGACTTGTTCTAAACTTGAGGGCTAAAGTGAGACAAGGCATCACAAGTAGTGCACTGCCAGTGAACACGTACTGCACGACATAATATGCTCCTCCAACTGCAACAAGTGCAATAGCAAACTTCATGCGATTGTCTATCACCCCTCCCGACGGGTGGCGGTGTTTTTCGGATGGAAAGCGCGTATATTGAGCATGTCGAGGAGAGGATGTTGAGAGTTGGCGGAGGGGAGTTGAACAAAGGCTGGGTGTCGGTAGTCGAACTCGTGGATAATTTCTAACAAGGACTGGCAGGCCCCGAGTACCACGCGACGCCCGCAGGATAGGCGCTGTTGTCGTCCACATGCGAGCAGGGAGCATCACGAATGGCGAGATGAATGTCCAAGCTTGTAAATTGCAAAGCTCAGTCTACCTGCATATAGGGACTAACAGCTAGCATTACTATTACTCACAAGGCCCTTGCCATTCAATCGGATATGGTGTAATGGTTAACATTACCGCCTCTCATCAATCGGTACATCGGATTCGCGGTAGCTCGGGGTTCGATTCCCCGTATCCGAATTTTTATTTATTTCCATTTCAATCAATAAATAAGTGGTCATTTTCGAACCTGTTGAAACTCTGATACGTGACTTACTTTTTCTTTTAATGCACGATCTAACTACGGAATGTTGTAAGCTTAGACTCAGAATCGTCGGACAATCTCCGGATATCACTCTTGCGAAGTGCTAAATGCTATGTTGGATGCAGCTTGAACCCGCATCACTTTATAGCCAAGACCACATTAGACGGTGTCATGGCTTGTCGACCTCACTCAAAATCACATCATCCTAAAAGTTGCGCCTTGGAACCCATGGGGTACAGTAGCACCCCGGAGGACCCTGGAGAGCGATAGGTGTCCAAGTAATAAGTTCTCCCAAGTCCAGGAAAGTAAGTACTACTGTGCCAGCTCCAAGATTGTCTCCAATTTGTATACTACTTATTGATTTTACTTTTACTGGAAGACTTCGATCCCGGGTTATTTTCTACTTGACCAGATACGCGTGGAGCATGTGCAGCAAATTGGGAGACTGTCGTTTCTGAAAATTTTCGACTGTGCGTATCCTTGGTTCTAATTGAAAACAGTGTTAAGCTAGCATGCTCCCCAGCTATGCATATGTATTTCCTGTAGAATGTAAATACAAGACTGAGGGACTAAAATTGATCCGAATACTTCTGGAACAAATGAGACAAATGGCTGGAGGAAATCCGAGGAATAACAGAATCGCGAGCACTATCATCCTCTTTTGTCCCCATATCGTTGCTTTGAAGCACATATTTCTTCCACTCGGGTATGTCTTCCGAGATAAGAGGAGGTCAACTGTGTAGAAATCCCGAGCAGGTTCGTCATTGCCGGCTATATGGTGCACAGCACTGTGGCATGGTTTACGAAGTAAGGAAAGATAAAATTAGACCAAACAGGAGAGGGTGCACAAGCTTCGTTGACATAGTTACGCAGCACGTTTCGGACGAGTATTTGAGACGAATCTAGATCAGTGGCCAGGCTGTAGGCTGCGAGCGTGACACCGACTGTGCACGGAGGTGTATTGAGTGTGTCATTGGGATCTGGTGTTTTAGGGTGGCTTTCGTGGGTCGCCACGTGTAACAGGATGGTGTTGCACGCGGAAGGGTCGTAGGCATGCTAGGCGGTGCGCGTGGGTGACATGTGCGCCCCGGCCCCCCAACATCGAGCGTCCCTATATTAATATTGAAGTAAACTCATCCAGGTCAAAATCACTGTCGGCTGCTCTGAGCTATTATTCGGCGTGCAAACCAGTCTTTGAAAATAGAAAACTGCTAGATATGACTCTCGTCGAGGATGGTCATGGGGTGAAGTACAAGTTTAGTTTACGTGGTTCATGATGGTGCCAAATGAAGCCAATGTGGATAAGATTAGATTACATCCCATGCACACAGCTGCAGCCGCGCCGTGTGGCTGGTACGGCACTCAAGTTGATCAGGCACCAAATACATTCAACAATACCCGTCATCTCATTCTCCTCATCGTCGACAACAGCATTCAATCACAGTTCGTCGACGTATCGCGTCCTCCAGAGACAGCTGTATACCATACTACTTGTATACCTGCATGTAAATTTGTATCTTCCTTCACATGGCACCTCCCAGGCGTAGGGTATCATATGTGATACCTCCACCCACGGACGATGTTCCACGGCTTAGGCTACCGCCACTTGGAGTCCTCCGCAATGGTTCAATACGCCCACTCCTCATACCCTCTCAGACACCACTGGCCGACTCCAAGAGCATTTCGGAGAATTCTCATCCAAGGCATCGACTGGGCGTCATGTCCCTTGCGCTCGACACAACCACGCGTCTCGAAGGTCGGAACGCACCGGAAGGCATACTATATACTGGGGGAAGGGATGGATTGATCATATCATGGGATTTAGGACTTCCGTTCAGGCGGAGACACGATAGCAGGCACCGCAGAGACCGGTTAGACCGGTGGGAAATGTTGACGGGGATGGGAGATGAAACACTTGCTGAGGAGGCCGAGGAAGACGAGCGACGAGATGGTGATGTGCTTGGAGATGTAAAGGAGGGTGGGGGGCGAAAACGAAGAGGCAGCACAACGGACCAGTTACCGTACGAACTTCAGTGGCAGTTGGACACCGATGCGTTGACATCGGGATCGGTAAGACACAATATTTATTGTGTTGCGTGTAACTGGAAGCATCTCTTGTAGCCTTCTAGCTTCCGTCAGTGCGCGCAGACCCACACGGACTGGGTAAATGATCTCTTGCTCTGTAATTATAATCAGACAGGTAAGCACATGGAATGCAGTGGCGCGTCAACGGGCTGACCATAAGCAGTTGTCTCTGCATCGTCTGATGGAACCATCAAGGCCTGGCATCCCCATGCCATTTCTCCCAGTGACCCGTCTGCAATAGGGTCTCATGCCGATTATGCACGCTGCCTTGCTCTTTGGTACGCGTTCCTCGAATATAATGGTTCATACTGACATATATTTAGTCGTGAACAGAATTGGATAGCTTCTGGCTCATTTGACCGGACCATTAAACTCTGGGATCTTACCCGAGCATCGACAACGCCCGAACCATTCCTTACCCTCAACCCACCTGATGCTACCGCGCCCAAAGCTTCTGTATATGCAATAGCCTCCGACCCGTACGGACATGCCATCGCAAGTGGATCTCCGGAGCGTGTCGTCAGGATGTGGGACCCGCGCTCGGGAAAGAGGACAGGGAAGCTGGTCGGCCACACGGACAATATCAGAGCCATTCTTATGTCAGAGGATGCGCGATATGTAAGTTATGAATGTTTCAACAATGTTCTGTTCTGACGAGTTCGGCCAGCTCCTCACTGGTTCTGCAGACGGTGTGTAATTCATCATGATCTGTCGAATATTTTTTCTGAATATTTATATTACTAGCATCCATCAAGCTATGGTCATTGTCGTCTCAGCGATGCCTACATACGTTTGCATACCACACAGATTCTGTTTGGTCTCTACATTCGACGCATCCCTCGCTCGAGGTGTTCTACTCTGGCGACAAGTCGGGTATGGTATGCAAAGTCGATGTGGAGGGATGTGCAGATGTTTCGGACGGTGCCTGCATCACCGTTGCGCGGGAATCTTCTGTCGAAGTCGGAGAAGGCATTAATAAAATCGTGACCGCGGATGACGGTCTTCTTTGGACCGCCTCCGGTAAATCGAGCATCAGTCGTTGGAGGCTGCCGAAACACGTACCGAAACGGGTCTTAGATGAAGAGAGAGAAATCATCGCTGATAGTTCCTTTGCTACGATCTCGAGGAGACAAGTTTCCCTTGGACGTGACTCCATGCAGTGGTCTGCACCACCATCAATACATCAAGGTGCACTTGCAATTTTAAGTTAAATTTTCATTACTGAGCTATCGACTAGTTCGTAGGGATGACGCAACAGCAGCCTACCCCGGTGTCCCGCTCACATCTTTTGTACGACTCACCTCTCCTGATGGTCCTTTCTCCTCTTCTTCATTCGCTCTGCGTGGACGCGATCCCGAGGTTGCAACATTATACTCCGCAGCATCCATTGCCTCCGTTCCGGGAGGACGTCCGCCACTCCATGCTGCCTTTCACCACTCTCCCACCCTCATGCCCCCCAACACTCTCCGGAGCACGAAAAGTCAGATCTCGATGGCGCCTACCGATGTTGATGCAGTGCAGGACCATCGAACAGCATATGAAGTTCGGGAGTTCGCTGCTGATGCTGAGCCTTTAAATGTAAACGCGGATGCATTGATAGTAGGCTCTCCTGGCCTCGTGCGAGCTATCTTGCTGAACGATCGGATGCATGCGTTAACGGTGGATACGACCGGCGAGGTTGCTGTGTGGGATATCGTGCGAGGAGCTTGCAGAGGTTGGTTTGCCCGTGAGGAGGTGCGTGCTGCGAGTAGATCCTGCAGTACTTCAAGCAGTGGATATCGTCATGACAACGGGAGTGTGACAGGGGGTGACAAAGAACGGAGTCCTCGTGAGGCGCTTGAGGCAGTCCGAGAGCGCATCGAGGGTGATGCTGTCAGTTCGCCTTGGTCGTCTGTGGACACGAAAACTGGTGTCCTCACTGTGCATATCAACGAGCGCTGTTTCGATTCCGAGATATATGCAGACGAAGCTGGTTTTGACCATGACAGGCATTTTAGTGATGAACTCCGGTGTAAGGATATCCTTCTTCGTATTAATTTTCATCTGATCTGAACGCGCACTTTAGTTAACATTGGCAGGTGGGTCCTGCGAAATTTGTTCCTCGGCTTTATCCGCGAAGAGCAACGCATTCGTCGTAAACGCGACACCCACAGGTTCCGAGACTGGTCACTCAGCCATGCAGCGCACTGCGGCTCCACTATCACTGGAACTGAATGGGAACTCTTCTAGTTCCACACTGCAGCATTCCTTCGAGTCCCCGACAAGGCCGCCACGAGTTCTTGTTAGTAGTGCGGTCGTCACATCAACCACTTGTTTGCCCGCTGTCCTTCCTTCACTTCCCTCTTTGACCCGACCCAGCCCTCTTCTTACCCCGATGATACCGCTCGTTCCGCTGAAATCTCCTCCACCTTTATCCATTATCCCTCAATTGCCCCCGAACGATGCCACCCCTGGTCCTCGATCAATACGCACGCAAGGCCTTGATCCAGTGACTTCGCTCCCCAGCGCGTCTCGGGACCTGGATTATTTCTCTCCCCACCCTCATACACGGCGCCCGTCTACGGGAAGCACCGCGCTGTCAGACGCCGGTGATTTTTCTGCATGGAGTGGTCCTCCGAGTGTCCTGGCAACACCGACGCCAAGCACACCTACTGGCAGCGGGTTCATGGGGCGTCTGAAGAGCCTTGGTAAAGGCACTGTGAGAAAAACGACCAGCGACATGTTGCCGGGTTCACCTATATCTAGCCCTTCTGGCAATCTGGCTGATACGTCAATCGCTCCAGAGGTGAATTTGGTGAACACGAAGATTTGTGTTTGTCTGACTATTGCTTTGTCCAGGCACCTACAGACACTGTTGAAAAATCGCCTGTGCAGGCGCTCCTCGCAAACCCTATTTCACCTCCCATGTCCAGCGATGCTCCCACCCTGATGTTGCCTCCTACAATGACAATATTAATATCTGACGAAGTATATCCCGGGTGGAGAACGGTTTATAGGGGCAGCGTGTCAACTACATGGGCCGACGTATACAAGTTGGAGTCGACGATACCTCTGTGGCTTGCTGAATACCTGCTATTCAACAAAATTAACACCCCGCCTCCTGTAAAGGTCTCTTTTGTATTGTTACCCTGGCCAGGCACGGAACAGGGACATGAGCCACTCCCCGAGTTGCTCAACACGTCAGTGAACTTCATTCATTACACGCCGTGTATTCTGAACGTGTTCTTCAAAAGGTCACAATCCAAATTAACGTCGAGCAAATTCCTCAGAGTGCGCAAACTAACCCATCATGTAAGTTAATCCCTTGTGTGGGCGATGCAATAGTTGATATCACATGCAGGTTCAAGAAAAGTTGGACAGGATATCTGGCAGTCCTACATCGACACATCATCCACCGCATGACGATAATCAAAACCTGCATGATCGTGTTCGGGGTGAAGACCTGTACGAAATCCTCTGCAATGACTCTGTTCTGCCGCTGGATATGACTCTGGCTGCTGTGCGGCATTATTTCTGGCGTCAGGCAGGCGAGCTGGTGATGCACTATCGTTCTAAAATTCGGACGCAAGCACCGAGTGTTAATGTGCCTTCACAAAATATATAATTTCCTGTAGAAAGTACTTATGTTTGTGATACGAGATCATTGCGCCCAGCTGTTAGAGCGCTCTCGATGCCTTTCTCTTTCGAATTTCTTACTGCTCTCCGCACCACATGCATATTCGTATCCCACGCTGCGCCAGGAATTCGGGTCAACATCGTCACGATCTGCTCGAACCTCATGACTTCCATCATCCATGGTCCAAGCGAGTCCTGCAAACTGAGTCTACCATCCCGTTGCTTTTCCTCAAAATTTCGGTTCCACATCACTTCAAGGTACAAGCAATCATTAATCACTTTTCAAACTTTTTCAAGTTCAAACTGCGTGAGCTTGGGCTGGGTAGCGTTCCTCTCACGTGCCCGCTCTGGCACGATGAAAATCTCGACGGGCCTTATAGGTGCCTGCGCCGAATGCGGTGTGGCGAAGGAGTTATGCCAAGCGGCGAAAAGCATTGTAAATCACTGAAGGTCATATCGGGTTGGAGGTATGCAACTGTAAGTATGCCATCAGCGCTTGTGATTCCAAGGTCTCATCATAGCATTGTACCGTCCCGCACAAGCCCCACAAGGTTAACGACTTATCGTAAAAAGTAGCTGGTTTGAGCGTCCCTGTTTGGTGTTGCTCCAGCAATAAACAAAAGCGGCCAAGTGAACTTTGTAGATTCTGGCCTATGAATACGAAGATAGCTGTAACAAACGTGAAGACTATATGTGATGTGACAATATAGGCATGTCGATAAAGGTTGACATTCCTTCATAGGCAGGTAGCGTCGAAGCGTTCGCATGCTTGGTTGATGTCGATGGGGTGAATGAGTGGAGGTCAGAGACGAGCTGACGCGTGTTTGTGATTCGAATTGTTGTGAACGCGCGTGGATAAGTTAGAGTGAGTGTTAGGAGGTCGGCATGGCTCCTCGGGGTCTTGGATAGAGGGAACCGAAGTTCGAACGAGTAACACAGGACTGGTCAGTTTCTACCATTCCGGTCAAATGCATTTGTGCGTTTCAAATTTGAATCCTAGTCGTGTCCGAGTCTATCCGTGTTCCTCACTGTCGGACAGACTGAGCTGAGCTCGTTCGGGACCCAGGCAGATCAATTTAAGTCATCCGATCTCGATTCTCCATAAAAATCAAAAGTGGTCTCATTCTTACACTCTCCGGTCAAATAATATAAAGATCTGGCCACTCCTAAGTAATGTTTATCCACCCTGGTTATATCTACAACCATACTTAACCAACGACCAAGGATTTATCATTTTGTACCAGTACTCTTCTTGTTTCTAGCTTTCATCGTCACCCAGAAGTACCATACCCTAGACCTGGTCTCCCTAGCCTCAAGCCCAATCTTATCGCCAACTATACATTCGACCCACGCATACACAATGTCGAAAGCAGACAAGCGCAACAAGTTCCTCGCCGTATTCGAGCGCATCCGCGAGGAACTTATTGACCATATGAAATCAGAGAAAATGCCCGAGGACGCCGTGACGTGGTTCAACGAGGTAAGCGATTTTTCGCATGTTCGATCGATAGAGATGTTGACATGATCATCCACCTCGTTGGCTTCGATCGGCTAGAGTCTCATTTACAATGTTCCAGGAGGAAAACTCAATCGTGGCATATCCGTCGTCGATACCGTCGCTATACTTCTCAACCGACCTCTAACCGACGACGAGTACTTCAAAGCCGCCCTGCTGGGATGGTGTATCGAACTCGTACGTTTCAGCTTTATCGGCTTCTTCCACATGCTCAGCCAATAGCACCCTCTTATATTTATAGCTGCAAGCATTTTTCCTCGTTTCTGATGATATGATGGATGGTTCCATCTCGCGACGCGGTCAACCTTGTTGGTACCGCGTCCATGATGTCAAGGGCCTTGGAAAAGTCCACAATGTTGCCATCAACGACTCATTCATGCTCGAGGGTGCAATTTACCACCTCCTGAAAACCCACTTCAGGCGAGAGAGCTACTACGTAGATCTATTAGAGCTATTCCAAGATGTATGCCTCTCGCAATCCCTTCTGCTACGTTCTCACCTTCTGACATGACGTACTACAGGTCACGTACAAAACCGAGATGGGCCAGCTCGTCGATCTGATCACTGCCCCAGAAGATAACATCGACATTCGCAAATACAACCTTGACAAACATACCTTCATTGTACGGTATAAGACTGCGTTCTACTCTTTCTACCTCAGTGTCGCGCTCGCCATGCGTATGTGTGGTGTCCCGGATGTATACGAGCTCAATGGAAAAACCGTTGAGCCATACAAGGAGGCAGACCGCATTCTCATTCCTATGGGCGAGTTCTTCCAGGTACAAGACGACTACCTAGACTACCACGGCACCGAGGCAGAAATCGGAAAAATTGGCACCGACATCGTCGATGGCAAATGCTCCTGGTGTGTGTGCACAGCACTCACATACGGCACCGAAGCGCAAAAACAACTCCTGTATGAGAACTACGGGAAGAAGGGCGCAGATCAGGCTGTGCGGGAACAAGCTGTGAAGGACATGTACAACGACGAACAGGGATTGAACATTCCCAGGCGCTATGAGGAGTATCAAAAGAAGGCAGTGGAAGAGATCAATGCCATGATCGATCAGGTCCCTGAACCTGCTGCGCACGAGGTGGTCAAGGGTAACAGGTTGAGACGCGACGCATTCCGCGCCTTCTTGAGCAAGATCACTGATCGCAAGGCGTAAAAAAGGAGAGTAGATGCAAAGATCAATCACTGTAATTGTTGCTTCGTTTATATCCACTGTTGTGTTAGACTACTAGAATTATTGGATCATGGATCCTAGCACTAGTAGAGACATGACTACAAGTCATCGTTGACCGACAACCACATTGTTAGAATAACTGTGGCTCATGAGGGACGTACGTGATAAAGACGAGGAATGGTTCTACTCAGCAGCCTGGATAGGTATAATATCTTAGCTATAGGCCGCATGACACGCGTAGGCAATGTCAAAATCACGATAACGATAGCAGAACATTAATACAATAGAGATCTAGCGCACTGGAGCCTCAGTGCACATGTTGCGGTGGATATGCAGCTGGTACATGGTGCGCTTGTGGTGGTAGGCTCCGGCGAGCTCGCTGTGGGGGAAGGACATGTGCGACAGCTGCTGCTTCTTCTCTAGATAGCAGTAGGACCCAGTTAATGAAGATCAGACAGAGTACGGACACGGACAAACGCACCCAAAAACAGTCTTGATCAACTCATCCAGCATTACTTCCTTCTTTGCCTTTTCTTCCTTCGCCTGTGCCCTTGTAACCCTAAATGATATGACATCAATGCTGCGAGGACCATCCAAATCAATTCAGCGCACCTGAGTTCCTCGATGAGCGCCGCGTGGGTCTCGAGCGCGTATCGCATTTTCGCTTTCTGAATTATATACATGACGAGTGCAGGACTGCGACCCATGATCAAACCAGTCCTGGGATCCAAGAGCCGCTGCAAATGCGGTGGAAGTCCATCGTCCTCTCCATCATCATCGTCCTCATCGTCCTCCTCCCGCACGAGTCCCGAAAAGTAATCTCCCCCACCTCCGAGTCCGTTATCAAGCTCAGAAGGTGTCTGTGGTTCGAGCTTGAAGGTGTTGAATGCGGAGTGCTCGGGCGCAGGTGCGTTGGTTTGGGGGTGGGAGGGAGAGAGAGAGCGCTTGCGTTTACGTGTTCCTGACGAGCCCCTACCGGACGGTGGAGGGGGCATGTTATGCTGTAGTCGCATGTGTTTTGCTAGCGCGTCGGAGCGGGTGAAGGACTTGTCGCATTCTGAGAATATTTGAGTAGGTCGATAAAAGGAGAAGTTGAAATATGAACAATGACAATTGGCATATGGAGGTAAATTGTAAGAGTAAAAACAGAATACAGGTGATGTTCGTTTACTTTGAATGGTATTAAGAGGACACCACTTACCTGGCCGGGAACAAATGAAGGGCTTCTCGCCGGTATGCGAGCGGATATGGGATATCAAGGCGAATCGCGAAGTCTGTGCGAGCCCACGACGGTTGCATGTCGCCCACTCGCAAGTATAGTTCGACTTGTGCACCCCAATATGCGCTGTAACACACTCACACATTATGTTTAGTTTCAACGACGTTAGGACATGGACGCACTAGAGTGGATGTGTTCTATGAGACTGGGTAGGTGGCTGAAGACAATACCGCAGTCGTCCCAGAGGCATGTCATCGTGTCCGCCCCTGCTGCCTCCCCATGCTCGGCATTTGGAGGCCCCGGCGAACCCGTCCGGCTCGCGCTTGGTTGAACATCGGGTGCTTCGTCTGCTGAGGAGTCATCCAGTAGTATGGAACTCTGTGAGAATATAGGAGACGGCGAGCGGCCGTAGGCCCCGTACGCGTACGACATTGTCGACGAAAAGATGCTAGTGTTTGCTGGCCGGTATGATGAGCCATTTAGTTGCACTTGCCAAATTCGGTGCGTAGGGCAATTTCCGGGCGAAGGCTGTCGTTCCTTCCTTGTATCAATGGTCTATTTTCTCTTCTCGACGTTTATTGGACTGTATCTTGTTCACGATAATCCGATGCTTTTTGGTGACTGTTTTTGTATTTCGCAGAAGCTTCAGACCGACGGCCTGCGGAACCGCTTTCACAGTTTGCACTTTGAACAAGCATCGATCAGCTAAATTTGCCAACTTGGAGTCAGATGGACCCGGGAATATCATCATCATCATCAAAGGGCACAAGTCCAATGATCACACATGGAACGAGTCAGTACTGTGCTAGGCTAATATGTCTGAGGTAGTCGGGGTCTACAGGATCGCCAAATTTTCGTGCCTCATGCTAAAGTCAACACGATCATGACAGCAAGCGGAGTGGTTTGCTGGAGCTAGAGCTGTTGTTGAGACAGACAAATGGCACAATCCTAGCATGCTGACATTGGGCAACAGGGCGCGAGTAATCCTGCGGATCGCTGAATTTGTTATTGAAACAGATAAATGGTATGACCCTACTGATATTGGCCTGACATGCTTGACGGTCTTGGTGCTGTCCATACCCGTAGTACAGCTTTAACCACCACTAATATGGGGAACTCGACGAGTTCCACATAGATTCATGTACGTATTGGTGACATTCACTTGATTTTGCTGATCCGCCCTCAGTGATCTTCCTAGAGTTTATGCATGCTCTTCTTCAAGTTCTTGGTCTATATGTGTGAGGTGAAAGTATTGGATCTTATTATATAATAGACGGTTCAGATGGGAATTCGTGGCCCCTCCGGACCCCGACTAGACAGTCCCAACAGGCAAGACGAGGTTCCGCTAGCCACTGGTAAGGAATATGCATCCGATACTCTGCTTGCTGGAACCTGCGTTCTCCAGGTCTTCTACATGGCCGGCCGCTGTCTTCTTTTTGTACTGATCGGAATGTAAGTGCACCATGCTTTTTGCTTCGCCGGCTCTCACTCTTCACCGAGACCTGTAGCCCTTGATACGCCAAGGTATATTGAGACATCAATATTAATTCTCGTTCCTGCATAAACGATTTTGTTTCTCGCCAGCGAAATCGATTGCTGCGCACTGTGTGCCTTCAATCAAGTGAGTTCTCATTTTGGAAGGAATCTTGCTATTTTTCGATATATTGCGCTACCACATTGCAATGTGCCGTACCATTGCCGTACTATTGTAACAACTTTTCTATGACAATTTCAAGGACGACTCTATTATTTAAACCCATTTCAAAAGCCATTTTACTTCTGAACCTTGAAGCCGTTGAAATCGAAGTTGAAATTTCTGACGTATAACTGCCCTCCCTGGTACAATATTCCAAAGACACAGCTACAGGTTGTTGGAGGAAACGACCGTTAATAACGTTTAACAACATCAATCATTCATCGACACCACTGATGCCGTCATGGTGGCCTCCGAAGTTCTGATCGAAGCATTAATGGGGTAGTGGTAACCTGGGTCGTTGCCATCGACCCGCCGAGGGTTCGATTCCCTCTTAATGCACTGGCAGTTATCTGGTTTCGTTTTGGTTTTTTTTGCCGCTCGGGATGGTTTGTTAACCTCTATTTTTCTTCTATAACAATTTGCTGCGTGCTGAATCCGAAGCTCTTCCATAGGTTGGTTGGAGATTGGTTACTTCGAAGTTCGAATTCATGGGTGATGTCACATCTTACAATTGGATTTTAAATCTTCGAGAAGTTCGCCTAATGACATCTCGGGTATAGCTCGGTCGCGATTCTCTAGCGAATCTTGAACTGCCACCGTATTTCTACCAGTCATGCTGAAAATATGATCTTAAAATTTATTTCCCTGAGTTTGCTGCACATCACGCCATGTTCATCCATCTACTGGTGTTACTTTGTGCATCTGTCTCCGTGATTGCGACACCCAGCGTTGTAGTCACTGGCGTGGACGTGGGAGGCTGCGCGTTGGGGTTCCCGGTGTGTTGTGAGGCTGCCAGCTCTGATTATGTGCGTTTTGGATTCTAGTTTCAAAGGAACACACGAACTAAGTTGATCTGCACTTGACGTTGCATAGAGCGAAGGTACGAGGTGCCGGAACGTTCCCAATGTGGACGTATGTAGTAACTCGAGTCAATCGAGTCCATCGAATCAATCCACAACCACACTCTGCTGCAAGGACGTGCGTATTTCAATTTCCACCTGTGTCACTGGCATGTACTCATCATCGATGTAGGTCAGCACTGTGAATTTGAACGGAGCAGCAACGAATTGCACTGCCTACGACTAGCTCTAGAGTATATCTCTGCTTTGTTTGTAAAATTTCTGCACTATGAAGTGGTTGCAAGTAAATGATTTGCAGAACACCAGCAAAAATGCAAATCACCAGGCGTAACTGATCTAGATCTTCCTGACCGGTTATTTCCCACCAACGTTCTTCCTTCGCTTTGTACACCCAATGTATAAAACGAGGGGGTTGCGTTATACACTTGCATTTGACGGTGAGATTTCAAAATTTCGGAACACGATAACAAGAGTCATTGGTTACGCTAACCTTGCCTAACCACACTCTCGCTCGAGTTGCTATGTAGATCTTACTAGCAACGTGCTTACAGTTCCATTCGTGAAGGTGTGAGAGCAGAATCGTGAAGTGATGTCGGTTCGATGCTCGTCCTTTAGTACTCTTTGAGCACCAATGCGCGTTCGGACAACTTACCATCGACAGATCACTGCGTGGCTTGCACGACTCCTCGGTATTGTGATGCCCACCATTGAAGAACTTGTTAGCTTGGGTCGCAGTCCTCAGTCTACAACACATTTTGGTGGATCGACATGAGGGCCATTGTGTCTTTGAATATGGTAGGCTTGCAGAATAAACCATGATCTATGCCAGTCCTAGACTGGTTCATCCTTCTCGGTCTCCGGCTCACCCTCTGCTTCAAAACCACTGTCCTCGTGATACAATACTCCAATACCCACATTTCCAGGGGGTGAGACCCAACAAATCACCGAGAATGTGATGAATGATATCAAAAGACCTGCGGAGTCACCGAATTTCATTCAATATTTAAAATGCCGTTTCATAGCGGCAAACCTACCGACGAAGAACGCAATATGGAAAATGCGCACCCACACATTCCACGCAGTCGCGTCGCGGGTTGTCATGATTAGCCCAGGCATAGTTGGGAAGACCCCAAGCACCCAGGCAAGCGGGGCACGCCAGTGGATGCCGTTGCGGTACCTTGGTAGAAGTGAGATGAAGAATATGCCTTGTGATGTTTGCGCACCAGTAAATAGAGCGTTTGTCGCCGATGTAGCAGTCCTCGAGCTTGATCACGCATCTCCTTACTACGAAGTAGTCGGCAAGAAGGATCCCAGAAAAGGGAGCGACTAAGTGGGAACAGTTTACGCGTGATGAATAAAACATCCTGAATACGTACAGAATATTCCGAAGCCAGATATCACGGTCAGAAAAGTTGAAGCATTAGACAGGTATTGCCAAGGGTTCGAAGCTAGCCCCAGAAAGGCAAGCAAGTAAGCACCCCTCCTGATGTTGATATAGCGTCTGCGGAAGAACATCTGTTGATCTGTGCATTCGGAGTACAAGAAACGTAAATACGGACGGTACGACACCCCTGCTCGTGTGTTAGGTATATGTTGAGATACGAGAGTAAGGACGTACGAAAGATCCATCCCGGCGCTCACAGAGTTGAGAACAATGCTAATACCGAGCTGGGCACATACACAACCGAGTCCGGCAAAGAAACTGAAGTGCAGTCAGAGAAGGGGCTAGAACTCATTAACGTGTCACGTACATCGCAGCACGAACTGTCCGATGAAGAATTGAGCACCCATACTTACTGCAAGATTGTCCTTACCTCTTGGTGAGTCATGACTGAAGAAACGAGTTAAACTATGCCCCAGCGGATGAACCTCCACTTACTAGTAATCCTGCAGAGTTGCGAGAAGCAGGAAAGGCTCCCAAATCAGGCTCCCTACAATTTCTTGGGCGCATGACGTGACGATGATGCCGATCGTGGCACATACAATGATGCAAAATGGACTGGGAGTAATCATTCAGGTTGAACCAAGGCGAATATGGGTAGTGGACGTACGCGGCGATGAGCTGAGATAGCGAGGGCGCATCTGAATGGACGTGTTAGTCTGGTAAACAAAAATGCGATAGTGTTGAACAGACATGGCCGGTTGGCATAGCGAGTCCAGTCGCTTTGACCGAGGGTCCCACCACCCCTTTTCACCATAGCCACAGCATATATTAGATGCGCGTGCAAGCGATGAAAGGACAGTCTCGCACCATGCGCCGAGAATCGCGGTGATACCGAATAACATGGCCCTATCACATTGTGTATCAAAATATCAAATTTCATCTGAAGTTATGGTCTCACCATCCCGTTCCACCGTGAACGGGACTGGATTGCTCTTGGAACAAGGAACCACCCGAATGCGTGTTCGAGACCGCCCAAGCAAGAAGTCCGATCAAGCTGGAATTGTAAATTAAGTGTAGCACATGCGTGAAATTAGATTCATAATGACGGTGCTTACGTGCCGCCGAACATGACAGACGAGACTATGAATGGTCTCTGGAGTCGCTCGGGAGGGATGCGCATTGTTGCGATGAAGAACACATAGTAAATGCTGCATACGACATGTCAGATTCAATGGGTTTGTGGAAGGAGGATGTATCAGACATTATGCCTATGAAGTCCTTGGTAAACAAGATTCCTCCCGCTAACGTCTGTTTCCTAAGTCATTGTGCGTGAGTGGCGAAAAGAGTTGACAAGTTGAGTGTGCTCACATGTGGGCAAATCCTAAAACAACATAAAATAAGTATTGCTTAATCTGAAAGGAAGGTTGCGCACCAGGAATAATAGCGCCGATTGTTACCTACTCAAATGCGTGGAATGAAGTAAGATGTGCGAAGACTTGAGGACATACCGCAACAGCTGCACAGAATAGCGCAGTTTATCAGCGACGGGACAGAGAACATGAGTAAAAAGTAAATTACCTTGTCCACCCCAGTAGGCCTGGAGGCCATCCCAGCTAAATACGCACATCTGCTTTCGGCACTTGAAAAAAAAATTCGAGACTTACAAGATGGTCCTTGAATTGTGAAATCAAGTAATGTACCACAATATGTTTACATCACTCACACAAAAGCGCGAATGATGACAGGAAAATAGGCGCCTCTGCAAGAGGAATCAACACAATGTACCGCTGTCGGTTGTTGCATACTCACCGCATGCCCCAGCTGAACCTGCACGCTACAGTAAAACCTATGTGATGTCTTTAAGCTGTCAGCATTTTGATGGAACCCGTCCCGTAACCACAGCATCCCTACCTCTCTCCCATCCACCCGCAGGCGACACAAAGCACTCCAACAATGAGACCTCCGATGACGAGGGACACGATAGCCTGTCGCGCATCTAGGCCGTACGCGAGTAATGTGCTGCCCGCCGCATATCCTGAGATGCAGAGACCAGAAATGCACCAGTAGATGAAGTAGGACCATATCTTATATGTGCGGCGCTCTTTGGGCATGGGGATGAGGTCGCGGTTAATCCATGGTGTATTGGGAATTCCAGGATCAGTAGGTACCTCAATGTACTGGAGGAACTTGCGCCATCGAGACGGATGCGGACCTACTTCCTTCGAGTTGGTCATCGTAGGTTGTAGGTAAGTGATAATCCGCTAATACTCAGTATCAACGTCTCAACGCTGGTGATCGAGTATTACTACTTGAGCTCCTTGGAGATGAGTGATCCGAAGAAAGGCACGAATTCAGCTCCCCATTCTGCAGAGAACTACTAGTCCCACACCCATTGTGCCTTGAGCACAGGAAGCAAAAGGAGCGCTTCGCGCTCCTTTTTGGCTTCTGGCCTTGGCTGCATCTTAATATGTTCAATAAATAATTGATGAAAAATTGACATGTGCTGCACTTGAATGGGCAACCATGTATTGAGTCGAAGCTCGAAAACTAGTGACCTATGGAAGCCAGCATCAGCAAAAGACCCGTAAATTTCGCTTGTCAAAAAGAAGTTTGATGTTTACGGTGAGCTTACGGCGCTGGTGATGGAGCAATGCGATTGGTGGAGCCAAGAGGTGTGCAAAAGGAGAATGCCGAACATAGGGCTCGATATTATTAAGCTTGTAAACCTTAATATACAGCCACTCCAAGTTTCAAAACATCAATTCTGAGTTTCTCGATAGCGGCCCAAGCTCTTTGTCAAATCATTAGAGTCTGTTCGGCCAGGACAACTTTGCCCAGCTTTGCCCGATTTCAAAAAAGCAAGTATCATTAAGTAAGCATGGAGCTTGAAACTGATGTCACACTGATTAGCGTTATCAGTAAAAAAAAACACATGTCCCACACACCATAATTGCCATGCTCCCCTGTCTCTTATATCACACTGACAACCCTCCCACTGATGGAGACACACATGAAGATCAGGAAGATCAAGAGGAGCAGGATGAGTGGGATGAGCAGAATGAGCAGGATGGTGGGCAGGGTGTAAAAGATGCAGAGCAGTCAGATATGAAGAACCTCTGAGCTATCATAAGCTTCTTCCAGGATATGGTACTTTCAGCCTCTCAAGTTGTTGGTCTTGCCAGGGACACCCTAAGCTCATATACCAACACTTACTACAACAAACAACCTTACCATACTTCAGTGCTGTCCAGGATTGACTGGGTCAACAAGCTCCTTAACGGTCGCCCAGAACGAATCAGATGTGAGCTTGGTGTACATCACCACATGTTCATTATATTGTGCAATATACTTTGTGGTGGCGGAATGAATGACTCCAGAAATGTAACACTGGAAGAGCAGCTAGCCATCTTCCTGTATGCCTGTGTTACAGGCCTTGCTGTATGCCACCTTGCTGAGTGCTTTCAGTGCTTGAATGACACAATATTGAAGTACGTCCCCTAGCTCTCATCCTAATCTTTGTTTAATATATTCTACCAGGTATTTTAAATGAATTCTTATCGCATTGTCCTCCCAACCAATCTATTCCACCTATGTCTGGCTTCTGGATGCACAAACCCCTGTGCCTGCTGAAATCCTCGGGATGACAAAACTCTATCCCTACTTTGCCAATGTGATTGGTGCCATCAATGGCACTCACATCGCATGCCCCTGGCGCTGTTACAGTTATGTATGCCCCTATTCATTTTCTCCTTTTTACTGTGTATTACATCATGAGCTGCATGATGCCACCGCTAGACTTATCTCTGATTCATACCTTGTATTACATCACAACCGCAGTCGCCGTTGCTAGCTGACCTATTCTTGTTATCGCTTATGCATTTCTTATCTCTGACTCACCTCACTCTCACGCCTGCCCTAAAGCACAGTAGTCTACTATAAATAGCTCTCCTGTACGCTTTAGTTACCCCACTTTAATCTTACTAGGTTTTACCTGGATAACTCTTTTGCTTAGGACCTCCAATCCTAAGTTGTCTGAAACCAATATTCAAAGCAAAGACACTCTCTTTGCTTTGTCTTATGACCCTTACATTTGTAAGGTCCTGAACATAACTTCAGCCAATGTTCTTATTGAACCGCTGTTGTTACAACTATCCTAGTCTGTAACAAAAGATTAAAGTGCTACTCTGACCCTCTCCATCAGGGAGGTCCCAGAACCCAGAACCCAGAAAACAGAGAGAGGTGCAACGTCCCCTGTAACCAGACACATCACTAAGACCTGAAGATCAGGATGTCAACCACCAATACCGCAGAACTTAAAGCCAGAGCTCCAATGACATATGATGGAAGCCCTCAGCAGGCTTTACATTGGTTGTTTGCGATTAAGGCATACTTTGCCCTTAATGCCACAATCTACAACACAGATGAAAGAAAGGTCATCACTGCTCTTGTGTACATGACTGAAGACAGCGCTATGGGATGGGCACTCACCTTTTACACTGAGGTTGAGAACTCCACCTCCAAATCCTACGGAACCTTTGTGAACTTTGAAACAAAGTTCAAAGAAGCCTTTGTGCCAGCCGATGCCATTGGTACAGCTATGAACAAACTCTGCACCTTGAAACAGATGGGCGATCTCACTTCCTACATCCTAGCTTCAAAACCCTTGCTGCACAGGCCACTGTAAAGCAAGATGCCATCTTAATCACCTTTTTCAATGACGGACTTAAGAAAGAAATTGGCAATTCCATCTATCAAATGGAAACCATTCCCATGGACTTCGAAAAGTATGTTGCCGCAGCCATCAGGCTTGACAGTAACTGGCAGAGGGGTGCCATGTTCTGACAGAACAATTGCACCACTACCAAACCAACCAGACAATGATATGTACCTAGACCTTCTGTTGATCAGCATGATCCAAATACCATGGAAGTAGATCAGCTTACTGAAGCTGAGAGAAGCGATCATATGAAGAAAGGGTTATGCTTTACATGACACCAGAAGGGACACATGACTAGAGCTTGCCCTCAGAAGAAGAATGGGAAAATCCCAGTTCGTTGTGAAGAGATTGAGGATAATGATAAAGAAGATGAAGATACAACGATCCATCACCTAGCCGAGGATTTTTGATGTGGAAGACTGGATTGATGTTAGTATCTTCTGATGTATGTACCTATCAGACTTGTACAAAGTATTGGAATCAGAAAGGAACTTCACATTTGTTAAGGTCATACTCAAAGGGTAACTAGATCTGAAGGGCTTCAGCCTCAGCTCATGTGCTGTGCCCCTTACCTGAGTATTGCCCCTTATTTCAGGAAGGCAAGACTAGCGCATCTGGAAGGTTGGACGAGTAGCATAACGGATCTGGATGACTTCTGGATGAGGGATAAGTATTGTAAGGCTAATCTGGACGAGTCCAGACTAGAAACTAACAGTAATGGACTGTCAGGGACAGAGGTGGATGCAGATAGACTATAGGAATCAATCCTAAGTCTTGGAGGGTGACAAGAGTAGAGGTACTCAAGTCCAGAGGACAGGAATGAGTAGAACTAAGATGACATTCGAGCTGAGGTACTACAGAAAGTTACAGGAGGTTATATACTATAGGTATCTAATGGAATGATCAATCAGCAGAGTCCGAGGCTATGTATGAAGCATGTGGATAGTCTATTGGTAAGTAGAAACAGATCACAAATCATGAAATGGAAATGAAGCATAGGTAGCAGATAAGGGAGCAGGATGGATATACAGATAACCGAAATACTGGAGTTAGGGGGTTACCGAAAAGAGACAAGCACTGGTTGTGGATTTGGATAAGTTGTGGACCAGACTGGACAAGTGGACAGATTGAATGATGAGATGTTGGAGGGGGATAAGATGTGGATAGCATTGGAGATAAGATGTGGATCTGAGATGAGATAAGGGTTGGATCTGAGATCTGGATATGCGGATATGACAACATTCCTATTTCGCTCATCTCCAAAACTCATCTGAAAACCATTGAAACAACAGCCATTGTTGACTCTGGTGCTGCCAGAACATTTATCTCAGAAGAATTTGTCAAAACCCATCATATTCGAACACATAAGCTCACAAAACCATTCCAAGTCACAACTGCGGATGGAAGTTATGCAAAGGGGGGCACTATTACCCAATACTGCATCCTCATCATGAAAATTGATGAATGATCTATGATTGGAAAGTTTAATATCACATGGCTTGGCCGTTGTGATCAAATTTTACTTGGGATTCCCTGGCTGCGTGCTATGGACCCAGTAATCAGATGGAAAGCAGGAACACTGGAACTCCCTCAAAGTGAGAGGAGCGATTTAATTGAAGAAGATGTTGATAATGAATGGAAGAAGAACGGCCTCCTGCCTCTCTTCCAAAAGACTGATCAGCAATTGGAACCAACTCCAGTTGTAGTGCTGCTGAAGGTGCCTCCTGCAGAGTTGGTCACAACCACATTACCCAGAAAACCGATACCCCAGGCTACCATTGAAGAAACCCTGGACAAGGAAGAACCCCCAGTATTACCACACTTTGATCCCATCCCTGGTGACAATGACGACTCTTTTGACACCAAAGATGATGTATGGACTTTGGACTATGCCCTACCTGTATGCGAACTCGCCACATATCATCTCGATGATGATGAATTTTTGGTTGAATACCCCGCCAATGCTACTGAACTCCGGGTTATCACCAATATCTCCATGGATACTCCATTAACCAAAGATGGTACTAGCATTATGGAACAGAAACCCACAGTTACACCCCTGTCATGACCTACTGAATACGTCAAAACCAGTAACAAAGCACAGCAGTTTGCTTTAGCAGCTGGGCTTGAACAAAAGAAGAAATCATTCGAGGAACTCATCCCTTCCTACCCTCATGATTTTGCTGATATCTTTGCAAAAGATGGTCTCAACCAGTTGCCACCAGAATGACCTGGTATCGACCATCATATTGAAACCAAACCCAGTTTTATTCCTAAAACATCAAAGGTGTACCCATTATTGGAAGTGGAGCATACTGCTGTCAAAGCTTTTATTGATGAAAATGTGAAGAAAGGTTTTATCTCTGAATTGAAATCACCACAAGCAAGCGGTTTCTTCTTTGTAGGAAAGAAAAGTGGAGACCTTCGTCCCTGTCAAGACTACTGATACATCAATAACTGGACAGTTAAGAATGCTTACCCTCTCCCATTACCACTTTCATTGGTTGCTCAGTTGCATGGTGCTAAATATTTCACAAAGATGGACGTCTGTTCTGGTTATAACAACATTCATATCCACCCCGATGATAGATGGAAAGCCGCTTTTACCACAGAATATGGTCTCTTTGAGCCAAACATCATGTTTTTCGGTCTCTGCAACTCCCCCACTACTTTCCAAGCATATATGAATCGGATGTTCCAACAAGAAATCAATGAAGGATGG